TTTCTGCTAAGTTAGTAATCATCTGTTGGTTCCACCATGAATTTATTGCCCTTGGAGCGAAAGCTGTTTAGTGAAAAATTGATTGTAAGATCGTGCGAGAAGAGATTTGCGATTGAATTTAAACGTTGCAAACCTACGATCTCAGGGTAGACTCCCATCGCATAAGTCCCAGTCTACAATAGAGATTTAAGCCCTAAGCCTTAAGAAATTGACTAATCACAGTCGCGCATTCTACTCATACTTGACCGTGATTGGCCAATTTCTTAAAGCTTAGGGCTTAAATCATCTATTGTAGACTGGGACTAATAGAGGACTTTCCTCTACATTTGTATCGCGAAAATGAGGAAACGCAGATCTTATTGTTTATAACTAATAAGAATTTTCTTCAAGTCGCCGGCAGTGATTAACAACTTCATTATTTTCTTGACCACATCTGGCATTTTTTATAATACAGAAAATTTATTGCGAAAAATATTACCTCAGCCAAGGTTTGAACCTGGACTCTCCAAGAAAATACTCAAGTTCTTATTGTTTGTATCCTAAAAGTTCACGCGATAGAAAGAGCGCGCACGTTATTTATAAAAAATCTTAATCTCGCGATACGAATTAAAAGACGCGAGATCTCTTATCCCGAGGTGTCATATATTCTGCGAGTGTCGAAGAGAAAGGGATTCTATCGCAAAAAAAAGAAGATACATTATCAGATATGATGTCGCGTTGTTGACACGCGCTGTTCGGCTATAACAACAGGCTTTTAATAGCCGCATATTTGCGAGTCGAATGTACCTGCACCCGACTTTTAATTAATATGCATCGATACTACCTGACGAGCGGTAGCGGAAGGATCTACCGCTACTCGATATTAAATCTACCGCTCGATATTAAATCGTGCATATCGTTAACGACGCATATCGCTACTTTTGTGGGCGTGGTATTGTTTCGAAGGACGCATTAAATGGTCGTATCCGCGCATTATGCAATTTGTACGTTTGCACGGCGCGAGAGAATTTCCCGTATTCGTCGCGTTGCGACTTAACTAACTGCATATGAAGAAGACGTGCTAGCCGCAGTGAATTATGCAGATGCCAGTCGACAATTTGCGCTTCAGGATCACGCGGGGATTTGTCTTTTAAGTCGCAATTTGTACGGCCACGCCGAAAATTGGCCGAGCGAATTCTTCGGCACTTATCGAAACCTTTGTTTTAACAAGCTTGTTTTCACAGAGGCCGCAACAACTGTCATTAGGAGTGGCGTAAACCTAATTGTTCGTGCGCGCGACGAGATAAGCGCTCGCTTTCCGCGAAAAAAAAAACTTACCGAGAAAGAAAATTCGTTGACCGAGAATCACGTGGAAACTGACCTCTTCGCGCTTTAGATGATTTCGCCAAAGATGAACCGAACGAAAGTCAAACATTTATCCTGAATTTACAAGTTTCTTTTCGCACAGCCCGTAAAAACGGTGCCTGAAAGCCGCAGGAATATAATCGTTCGTACGCTCGTATGACGGAACAAGAACTTTTGCACCCAAGAAGAAAACTCAGTCGATAATTTGCACTCTAGGATCATGAGAAAATTGATTTTTTAACCGCACTTTGTACGGCTGCGCTGAGAAGTGACCGAACAAACTTTTGACATTTATCGAATTCTTCAATTTAGTTAATTTTCACACAGACCGCAAAAATCGTGCTTTAAAAAGCCGCAGAAATTTAATTGCTCGCATGCGTGACGAGCTAGTAGACGCTCGCTTTACACGAAAATCACCGAGGTGGGAAATTCTCTTTGTCGCAATCGCGACGGAGCGACATTAGTGCGCTAATATTAGACAATCGGTCAATTCAATTGGACTTGACGGAAAAAGCCGGACGAAACTTCCTTATTAAATTGCTATCTATAACCGTTCGTGTCGCAACAGCTGCAGGCGCGGAATATTACAGGGCAATTCAAAAGCGAGCGCTCGCGTGTTTATTTCCGAGCGATTAGTCAATGTGCGGCCGCGCGACATTTATTAATCGTTGAAGAAATTTTCAAAATGTCGCACTTCTTATGTGGTGCCAATGGAGTTTGGAAATTGCAAGCTAACGCGCAGTTGCAAATTGCTTCAATTCCGATGCATATCGCGCGACTATAATGATACCGTAAAGAAATCCATAAAAGTGCGACCTTCTTTCGAAATTGCTCTTTAAGGTTTGCATAGATACGAGTGCGCTCATCACGCGATAACATTCCACCTATAACTGCTATAATTATAACGATTATATTTATTTATGTACAGCGTTACGTGGCAAATAGTAAAATCGGAATTAATGATCATCGGACGACGTAACGTCGTACGTCGTATTGCCGGAGTATAAATACGTACGAGCGAGAGATGTAGAGGAAAGTTGTCTATTACGGGACAGGCGCCTAACATGAGATAGCGGAGTTTCTGCTAAATTGATAATCATCTGTTGGTTCTACCGTGAATTTATTGCCCTTGGGGCGAAACCTGTTTAGTGGAAAATTCATTGTTAGATCGTGTGATCGTCGCGGGGAAAGATTTGCCGTTGAATTTGGACGTTGAAAACCTACTGTCTTTTATTAGAATCCGATCTCATAATAGAGGACTTTCCGATATAGCACGCGGCAAAGACAAATATCTTGAAAACTATAAGAAAAAATGTCAGACATGTCCAAAATCGTATTTAGTTAAACGTATATTTATTATTCGGGGCATAAAGAAGTTCGTACGTTATTTATATTAGAGATGTGCGAACTGTTCGAATCAAATCGAATCGAGTAAGAATCGGTTCGATCTGAATTGGAATTTCTACGATTCGAATCTGAACTGTTCGAAAACCGAAAGCAAATGGTTCGATGAAACACTGACAGTACTCTTGTAAAATCATAACATTTCCCGTCAATGAGCCAAACGATCATGTTAAGAGGCACATTCGGCAGATGCATTTAATATTATAATTGCTCACTAAAGAATTGACGATAAATAATAGTAGAATGTAATTGATTCTTACCTTTGAATCCAAACCATATGCACAGAGGAAAGTCCTCTATTATGAGATAGGATTCTAACGTGAGACAGTAGGTTTTCAACGTTCAAATTCAATGGCAAATCTTTTTTCGCAACGATTACGCGATCTACCAATCAATTTTCCACTGAAACAGATTTCACTCCAAGGGCAATAAATTCATGGTGGAACCAACGAATGACGCCTATTAATTTAGCAGAAACTCCTCTGTCTCACAC